TGTCTGATCGCCGTGATACCCATTGCCTCGTTACTATGTACGCTCTCACGATCTACACAATCCTTCCATTTATAGAATGGTCACCGATATTAGTAGACATTCTTTATTCGTTCGCCGCCCCTGTTTGCTCCGTCCCTTTTCTCTTCGCCTACATTCACTCTTGTCTTCCCTTCAGTTTACCACCTTTATATGTTCATGTAGCATCTCACTTTCCCTGCCCCCCTGGAAGTTCCAGCTGTTCGGTCTGTTCTTTCTCACTCCCTTGCTCGAAAGCTCAACTGCCTACGTGGCTTCCCGCTCTCTTTTTCTTGATCACTTCCACTCCCATTCTCATGCCACCGCTGTGTACACAGATGGCTCTAAGTCTTCAGACGCGTCGGATTCGCAGCAGTGTTTCCGGACAGCGTCGTACGAGGGCATTTACTATCTTCAGCTAGCATTTTTACTGCTGAACTGTATGCCATTCTTGCAGCACTTATTCGTATCGCATCTATGCCTGTGTCATCATTTGTAGTAGTCTCAGACTCCCTTAGTGCTCTACAGGCTATACGAAAATTTGATACATCTCATCCCCTAGTTCTCCGTATCCAACTTTGGCTATGCCGTATCTCTACCAAACATAAAGATATTGTTTTTTGTTGGGTCCCTGGTCATGTCGACGTACAGGGCAATGAACAGGCAGACACTGCTGCGCGGTCAGCAGTATATGACCTACCAATTTCCTATCGAGGTGTTCCATTTCTGGACTATTTTGCTGCAATAGCTACCCACCTTCGCACCCGTTGGTCAACTCTGCTCGGTAACAAACTTCATTCTATTAAACCGAGCATAGGTTACTGGCCGTCTTCTTGTCATCAGTGCCGAAGTTGGGAGACCACTCTCTCCCGCCTTCGCATTGGCCACACTCGTCTTACTCATGGGTATCTCATGGAGAGGCACCCTGTTCCTCTCTGTGAGCAGTGTCAAGTTCCAGTATCGATTAGCCACATTCTGTTAGACTGCCCTCTCTATCAACGAGCACGCAGAATTTACCTCCAACGTCGTCTTCGTTCTACTACTCTCTTTACCTTCCCTTCTTGCTGATGGACCCTCCTTTAATCCTGACTCTCTCATTGACTTCTTGACACGACTGATTTACTCCACAAACTCTGATGATACTTTTCGCACTCCCCTCAGCCCTTTCTGGTTCAGTCTCTTGCTGCCCTTTACCCTTTCACCATCCACTGCCCCGCTGTTATCCGTAACCTGTTGCTCATCCATCTCCCTTTTGCCGCCTGATGCCCTCACTTCCTTCCTGCCCTGCAGCGCTGTATAGTCCTTGTGGCTTAGCGCTTCTTTTTGATTATAATAATAATACATTGTTGCAATGTAGGTATCACCTTTCGAACTTGTAACCGATGTCCCACGACATATACAGAGGACAGGAGTTCTCGGCTGTCAGAAGTTAAACAAGCCACATTGCAAGGGTAACGTCTCCGCCCCCGGGCAGGAAGGACATAAGTGTCTACTTTGAGGATTGGGAGATCCTGGAGTTCCAGCTGTTCAAAAATGTCATTGCTACACGACTGGAAATTCTGTTGGACTATGGTATGGGGCAGAATGACGGTACCACTACAAGAATTGAGAGAAAGATGTTTTTCAATAGTGATAGGAGTAGTATCGATATTCAAAAGGAAAGATCATGAGCTTGGGTAGCATTCTGGACAGCGACGATGCGCATACCGCTCTTGAGAGCATGAAATGAAATATCTCTACCAACATGACGCAGGAGAGCTTTGCCAATACTATGGTCAGAAAGGTAGGCAGAAGAAGAAGTCTGTCTTAAAGTAAAGAATTTAGTCCATTGTGTGGTCCGAAACTCAGCGTGGAGAGGGAGTGCTTGACGTGTCGGTCTTTTCTGAGTAGAATGGGAAGGTAACAAAGGAGCATCATCAGGAGATTGACGTTGGCGTTTAGGAGTAGGACCGGAGTTGGTCCGGCGTGAAATGGGCGGGCGATTCGAAAATTGCCGTACTGTAGAGGGAGAAGCCGGAAGCATAGTCAAAGGAGAGCGGAGTTCAGACAAATCGAAGGAGTCAGTCGAAGTCCCGGTACCTGAAGCGGGTGAGGAAACAGCACCATGGTTAGGATACTCCTTTGGTTTTTGTTTTTAAGAAAAAAAAGAAAGAAGAAAAGAAAATAAAAATAAAAAAAAGAATAAAAAAAGGGGGGAGCGGGGAGGAATAGTTCCCAGGAGGAATGAAAGGGCCGGAAATCTCCCTCCGCGCCCAAGAGGACCTCAACACCGCTAGTAGCGCAGATGCAGCATGGAACCCGTGCCATACCCTACCCTTCATGCCAGTAAACCAGCAATCCGGGATAGCAACCTCACATCTGCCGAGCTACCTCGGTGGACAAAAGAGAGGGCGGCCGGATATCCACCACAAAGCATACCTCCTTCGGCCACCACCCCCGGAATCCGAAAGGTGGCTTCCAGAGATACACCCATCGCCCGAAAGACACCCAAAGCTACTCCGGGATACCAGAGAGGGATCGGGACATCCCCAGGCAATCCAGATTCCATGGCAAACTACGCCACCGCCAAGAACCTCAACGGAATGGGATGGACCCCGGTGTCCTTTCCCCTACCTAGGAACTAGCGCGCCTGTGGGAGAAATCCCAAAAGCCAAAAAGAGGAAGGGCAAAAGGGAGGGGTGGGGAGGAGGAGGAGGAATGGAAAAAGGGGAGGATGGGGAGGATGGGATAGGGGAGGGGAGAATGGGGGGTAATTAGGTTCGGTCTGAGGAAGAAGACCGACAGGGCTAATTCCTCAGACCAAGAGCCTCTTCACCACGCCAAGGAGCCCCCCTTGAAGAGGACACACAAGACAAGCTTGCTGAATGGAGATAATAGCAGTTATATGAAAGTATCTAGTGACTATATATGTGTATATATATTATAGAAACCAGAAGCAAGAAGGGAAGGCAGGAATGAAGGAAAGACAGATGAAGGAATGTAGGAAAAGAGGTAGGAAAGAAATGCAGGAAAGGAATGAAGGAAAGGAATGAAAGAAAGGAATGCAGGAAAGGAATGAAGGAAATTAATGCAGGAAAGGAATGAAGGTAAGGAATGCAGGAAAGGAATGCAGGAAAGGAATGCAGGAAAGGAATGAAAAGGAATGAAGGAAAGGAATGCAGGAAAGTAGGAAGGAAAGATGACACACGACCATTTACCTAGGATAGCTACATAACACAACTGCCTGCTAATACTTTGAAGAAAACTGCTCAGACGAGGTGTTTTGTCTTTGCACATAAAAAAAAAAGTCCACAAAAATTCACACACACTGGTTTTATGTGTGAGAAGTGTAAAACACCATTGTGCATGAAAACTTGTTTCAAAGAGTTACAGAAGCTGCAGAACATTTAGGAATATGTTCGGTGACTGTACATTGGTATATATATTATAGAACAATAGTATTGAACATTTTTTTGTATTGTTTGTTTTTGTAAACAAGTTTTGTAAACAATATATTGATAATTATAAGAACATAAGAACATAAGAAAGGAGGAACACTGCAGCAGGCCTGTTGGCCCATACTAGGCAGGTCCTTTACAATTCATCCCACTAACAAACATTTGACCAACACAATTTTCAATGCCACCCAAGAAACAAGCTCCGATGTGCAAGTCCCACTCAAATCCAACCCCTCCCACTCATGTACTTATCCAACCTAAATTTGAAACTACTCAAAGTCCTAGCCTCAATAACCCAACTAGGTAGACTGTTCCACTCATCAACTACCCTATTTCCAAACCAATACTTTCCTATGTCCTTTCTAAATCTAAACTTATCTAATTTAAATCCATTACTGCGTGTTCTCTCTTGGAGAGATATCCTCAAGACCTTGTTAATATCCCCTTTATTAATACCTATCTTCCACTTACACACTTCGATCAGGTCTCCCCTCATTCTTCGTCTAACAAGTGAATGTAACTTAAGAGTGTGCTTATTGTGTTGTATACAACGAGTGTATATATGTACATTGCACCTTACTTTGGTCTCACAGGCCACATAAGTTATGTGAAAAAATAAAATAGTGAAAAAAAAAAAAAAAAAAAACTTCATATACAAGTAAAGTTTACTGGGTGAGCGGCAGTCGCCACTGTTCCCATACGCGGTTCATTTTCTGCAAATTTCACAGCTCTATATCTCCGTAAGTACTGATGGCAAAAAAATTTTTTTTTTTGGACTAAAACACTCAGAAAAATAATCTTAACATTTTCATAAGAAAAAATAGTTTTTTTTTTTCGAATATTTTGCGACATAGAATGACAGTTTCAGAAAGGGGCCTGTGACAGTCATAGGGTTAAGAGTTAAAGTATGTTAAGTTCTACAATTTTTGTGGGAATATTTCTAATATTGTTAAAAGAATGATTAGTCTTAGACTTATAGTATTGACACCTCTGTTCTCTTACTGTACTTATTTCTCTACTGTTGTTAACTGAATATTTCACTACTGTTGTTCAATGAATATTTCAGTACTATTGTTCACTGAATATGTGGAGAAAATTTCTCCAGAAAGAGGAGGGCTATCAGCCCCTTCACCCTCTCAGAAAGGGCAAATGGCATCTTGCTTGCTTCTGATCAACAATTTAATTGGATGCAGATGCAGTAACAACATGTGTCATAGTCAGGCCATTCTACTTGCAAGAGACCAGTGTTACAACCATAGTGTGGGTTAATGAGAGCAAATACTCTCTGTAACAGGAAAATTTGCAAGAAAAACCCTGTATCACTTTATTCATAATGTGGGACAACATTGCACTCTCAGCAGTCGATAGATATCAAGAAATCTATCATTTGTAATGAATTGTGATGATGTCAAGCAAGTATGGAAATTATGCTGAAGTCTGTGATTTTGGGGCCACACCCCAAGGCAAAGCCCACTCCAGGGGCAGATTTCTTTAAAACCTGTCAGGGGAAACATGCTTAATGCCAGGATAAAAGACAAAGAACACTAGTGATCCACACATTTCTATTCCTCAATGACAATCTCAACAATTCATGGTAGAACTATTGTGAAATTACCACGAAGTAAAGACAAATCTTCAAGAACCGTAGTGTAACAGTGCAAGTGTGACATTCCTCAAGGGACACTTCTGCTTCAATCAAGACACCAATACCAGGTTTCATCCATGCCAAAAGCCAGGGATAAAGTTGTGGTCTGATACAATACCCAGGTATGTCTATCAAGTTATGAACCTAGTTTGGTTGGCTGCACAGAAGATAGCTAGTTCATGCCTTATCTGGAATTGCCATTATTAACCCATCATTAAAGGGTTATTGAGCCCAAAAACGTAAGAAATCATCATTTCAGCATTAACATGAAATGCTGATATGATGCTCTTTTGGGGCAATTATGTTTTTACAGTTATTTAATTCCCACAGCCAAAGGGTGGTAACATTGACAGCTCATAGAATGTTCTAGAGGCAGCTGCAGGATGTTGAGCTGTCATAAGGTAAGTAGCTTAGTACAGTTCATTTATTTGCTTTTCTTAATGCTACCAATCCCTTACAGAATATTTCACTAGTGTTGTTCACTGAATATTTCACTACTGTTGTTCACTGAATATTTCACTACTGTTGTTCACTGAATATTTCACTACTGTTGCTCAATGAATATTTCACTACTGTTGTTCACTGAATATTTCACTGCAGAATTCTTGATTACTGCAGTAAGCAGATTACAGACTTGACCTTACAGTATTTTCGATATACAGATACTGTTTATACTCTATATTAGCTCTCATGAGTACACAAGACTGATCTTCCTTTAAAATATATAAGATATTCTAAACATTAATACAACATCTGCTCTATGAACTTATATGATTTATACGACTGATATTTCATTAATATATTTCACTCTCAACACTGTTACGGTATATCCCTTTTGCATATTCTGATGAGTTTATAACTAAAATATTCCTGAAACATTAAACACTAACATGATTTCTTTCCTGTATGTACTCGTGTATGTTTCACAAGACTTCTTTTTTTACTAAAACATTTCGGACACTCCGAACATTGATATGGTTTATATCCTGTATGTACTCTCATATGTGACACAAGATTACTTTTTTGACTAAAACATTTCAGACACTCTGAACATTGATATGGTTTATCTCCTGTATGTACTCTTGTATGCTTCAAAAGACTGCTTTTATCACTAAAACATTTCAGACACTCTGAACATTGATATGGTTTATCTCCTGTATGTACTCTCATATGTGACACAAGATTACTTTTTTGACTAAAACATTTCAGACACTCTGAACATTGATATGGTTTATCTCCTGTATGTACTCTTGTATGCATCACAAGACTGCTTTTATCACTAAAACATTTCAGACACTCTGAACATTGATATGGTTTATCTCCTGTATGTACTCTCACATGCATCACAAGGTTTTTTTTTACACTAAAACATTTCGGACACTCTGAACATTGATATGGTTTATCTCCTGTATGTACTCTCATATGTATCACAAGATTTTTTTTTTCACTAAAGCATTTCTGGCACTCGGCACATTGATATAGTTTATCTCCTGTATGTACTCGTGTATGTTTCACAAGACTTCTTTTTTCACTAAAACATTTCAGACACTCCGAACATTGATATGGTTTATCTCCTGTATGTACTCTCATATGTGACACAAGATTATTTTTTTGACTAAAACATTTCAGACACTCTGAACATTGATATGGTTTATCTCCTGAATGTACTCTTGTATGCTTCACAAGACTGCTTTTATCACTAAAACATTTCAGACACTCTGAACATTCATATGGTTTATCTCCTGTATGTACTCTCATATGTGTCACAAGACTGCTTATTTGAGTAAAACATTTCAGACACTCCGAACATTGATATGGTTTATCTCCTGTATGTACTCTCATATGTGACACAAGGCTATTTTTTTGACTAAAACATTTCAGACACTCTGAACATTGATATGGTTTATCTCCTGTATGTACTCTCACATGTATCACAAGACTGCTTTTATCACTAAAATATTTCAGACATTCTGAACATTGATATGGTTTATCTCCTGTATGTACTCTCATATGTTTCACAAGACTGCTTATTTGAGCAAAACATTTCAGACACTCCGAACATTCATATGGTTTATCTCCTGTATGTACTCTCATATGTGACACAAGGCTATTTTTTTGACTAAAACATTTCAGACACTCTGAACATTGATATGGTTTATCTCCTGTATGTACTCTCACATGTATCACAAGACTGCTTTTATCACTAAAATATTTCAGACATTCTGAACATTGATATGGTTTATCTCCTGTATGTACTCTCATATGTCTCACAAGATTTCTTTTTACACTAAAAAATTTCATACAATCTGAACATTGATATGGTTTATGGTCTTTATGTTTTTCCATATTTTTTAAATGAAGGTATTTCATTTAAAATATTTTAGTTATACAACAGTGGTGTAGTTAATCTTCCTTATGTACTCACATGTCTATTTCAATTTTTTTTTTTTTTTATCTTTTTGACACTAAACACATGGCCTTCCTTATGAAAACATTCCCATGTTAAAATTTATTAAGGCAAAACTTTTCCTACTTATGAACACTAATAAAGTTTATGATAATTTTTGTTTTGTGCTAAAAGATTAATATATGTACTAGAACACTGTAGATGTACTCAACAATATTATTATTATTATTATTTGCTATTGTGTTTAAACAGATTTTTCTGAAAATTTTTAATTACAAAATTGCTAACTCGTTTTCTTTAATTAATCCTTTGAGGGTTCAGACCGCAAATCTGAAAATTCTCCACAGGATCTAAAAAATATTATTTTTTCTGATGAAATTGTAGAGAATTGTTTTCTGAAGGTAATAAAATAAAAAAGTACAAAATTTGATAAAGAATTGACAAAGTTGTACTCCTGCAAATTTTGCTGTGTCAGATATTTATGCACTGGCAATTTTGCCCACTTTGAGTCCTGTTTTTGGCAAATTAAATTATTCCATTAGACCAAATTCTTAGTTATTTTGATAGTATGTGTTCCATTTTATCTACTAAGCACATAAAATTGCCCAAATCAACTATTTCAACTTCCCAATAAAGTGACTGGAAATTGGTAATTTGGCCAATTTCACACAAAGTTCAAAATATTCCAATTTCAAAATAGGGTCCAGAATAATCAATGCAGACATTCCTGGCACTAAACTAACATTTCATCTATTTATTAGTTACATTTCCAGGATTTACAGATGAATTTCATTTTGATTTTTTATTTACAAATAATTTTTATTCGCGCCAAAAAATAAAAAATTTACATTTATGCAATATTGTAATACTTTTATGCAATATTGTAATAATTGTATAAATAATATCAGTGCATTCAGGAACACACATCAGACCCATCAGCTGACGTGTATTGGACATGTGATATGATTTGTTTACCCTCTAACATTGGCAAACATAGAACATTTCTACTACTCTGAACTGAATTTCAAGCTATTTTCTGTACTAAAATCCACCAAAATCATTTCTGTAATACATCTTCTATTCTATCAAATGAGACCAAGAAACAGTGAATGCTACCAAAAAAAACACATGAAAATACACTGAAAATTTGTGTTTTCGGCCGGGATGCCGCCGGAGGATGCCTTAAGTCCAAAAAAATGACTGAGTCTCAGGGATTTTTCGACGAGGATTGCATGTTGAAAAAAAAAACATAGTCGAAGTTTTTTTTTCTCATTATGCACTGTGTGCAGCAGGATTTGTTTTATATGGTGCACACTTACCACACAGATGCATTCTCTCATATTTAGGCCCAAATTTACCACTCACAGCTTATCTGAGTAAGCTGAGCTCATGATGTACTACTACAGCTTGGACCCTGACTTAAAAGTCATAGAACTACAAAACAGACCCTCAAAGAATTAACTGCCATGTCTTTTTAGATAGAATTCCCACCATCAAAAGCAAAATTGTTTAATTAGTAATAGCTAGTTAAAAATTCATAAGAAGAACAGCTGTTGTCTTTCTTGAAGCACTGAAGATATAGTGTCTGACAAGACACAACCTGCAGTCTTCCGCAAAATACTTCTGCAATATCAGTTGTTGTTCAAGACACTTATACTGGTGCTTCTTGAAGTACTAAAGATATAGTGTCTGGCAAGACACAACCTGGTAGTCTTCCACAAAATACTTCTGCAATAGAAACATGAGTCAGTATAGTACAATATTCCAAAATTACCAACACAACATACTCAACTAAAAAAAAGATTTTTTTTCTCTTTTGTCACATGTTTCACTAAATAAAATTGTTACTTAACCCTTAAACTGACCAAATGTAGATCTATGTTTGTACGCGTAGCACTCTGAATGTAGATCTACATTTTATTTTTCATTCCTTCAAATTTGGCGCAATAGGCTCGAGTCACACAGACATGAAAGAATGGGTCTGTGCACTCAGTGTGTTATTTTATTATTTTTTTATTATCACACTGGCCGATTCCCACCAAGGCAGGGTGGCCCGAAAAAGAAAAACTTTCACCATCATTCACTCCATCACTGTCTTGCCAGAAGGGTGCTTTACACTACAGTTTTTAAACTGCAACATTAACACCCCTCCTTCAGAGTGCAGGCACTGTACTTCCCATCTCCAGGACTCAAGTCCGGCCTGCCGGTTTCCCTGAATCCCTTCATAAATGTTACTTTGCTCACACTCCAACAGCACGTCAAGTATTAAAAACCATTTGTCTCCATTCACTCCTATCAAACACGCTCACGTGTGTGCAGTACTAAAAAAAATCAGGGAGCACTTAGTACCTTGTGGGAGTACCAGTTCAACTGAGCACCAGCTAGAGCAAACAGCGTGGCAAACACCAGGGATTCACTGATGCCATACCGCATTAACACTCCCCTTTTAAGAGGAAAGTAAAAATGGGATTGATAAATACATGAATGAGTGTGGGTGGGTGTGAGTTGGACCTAACTAGCTTGTGCTACAAGGTCTGATGTCGTGCTCCTTCCTTCAGTGGATGCGACCTGACTAGGTGGATCACTCATCTAAGCTGGGGTGGGGGGGGTGACATGGACCTGCCTTGCATGGGCCAGTAGACCTACTGAAGTGTTCCTTCTTTATTATGTCCCTGGCTGTCTCTGTCCATATCTCTATATCTGTCTATATCTCTGTCTATCTATATCTCTGTCTATCTCAATCTCTGTCTCACATGTACACAGGAAGAGTATTATACATATGGTAAATTACCTAGGATAACCCAAAATTCCAGTCAGATAGACAGACAGATAGAAAGACAGACAGACAGATAGATAAACAAACATGCTTGTGTTTATCAGTGAAAATAAATAAAGCCAGGGTTCCCCTAGTGCCCATTTATCACATGTCACTGAGCTGTCAACAGTTGTCATAACACCATTCTTCAAGGAGATTGATATATACTCCAGGTGCATACAGGCAGACAGACAGACAGATAAGCAGAGATAGACTGGCAGACAGACAGATAGATAGACAGACATGTTTGTGTGTAACAGTGATAACAATTACAGTGAGGGTTAGCCAAATATATGAGTGAGTGTGGGTGGGTGTAGTTGGACCTGACTAGTTTGTGCTACTAGGTCTGATGTCATGCTCCTTCCTCTAGTGGATGTGATCTGACTAGGTGGGTCAATGGTCTGAGATAAGGGGGTGACATGGGCCTGATTTGCATGGGCCAGTAGGCCTGCTGCAGTGTTCTTTTTTATGTTCTTATGTATTCGGCATGCTGGCCGGCTGACTGGCTGGCTGGCTTTGGCTGTCTCTCTGTCTATAGCTCTGTATCTGTCTATATCTCTATCTGTCTATATCTCTGTATATCTATATTTCTGTTTATCTATACAGTAAGGCTCCGCTTTACGGCGTTTTGTCTTACGGCGTTCCGCTAATACAGCGTTGTCAAATTATGACCAAAATTTGCTATACGGCAAGCGGTCTTTTAAATACAGCGCCCCCCACCTGGTTTGTTTACATTTTCCGTGACCACATCTATTATGTCAGGAAACTTTCCAAAATTTCAAGTGTTTTAAAGTTACTGCATATTTTATATGTACTCTGATAATTATACTTATGTGTACCTGTACCTAAATATACTTACACACTGTGCTGGTGTGCAGGTACACATTAAAATCTCTAAGTCTCTCTCTACTCATGACGCCAATGCTACGTAATAATAATCACTCTTGGGCACACTAAATGTCTTATTTTACATCATTATAGGCATTTTGATTAATCCATCTATGATATTTTCCTCAAAATTATATATGAAACCCATTACATAGCATATAAACATGATACATACACTCAGAATAAAAAATTAATGTAAATATGAGATTTGTTTACAAAGCAGCTGTGTAGGTAGTGTTGGAAGAATTATGTTTTCTCTAGTCAAACACTGGGGGGTAACTGTAGAAAAATATTCTTTTCGTATTCCTTTACTCTATGTATAGCAATTCACGACCCTTGTGGGTTTAGTGCTTTTTATAATAAATAATAATAATAATTATTATCATTATTAATATTAATATTATTATTATTAATATTAATAATAATAATAATATTATTATTATTATTATTATTAATATTATTATCTTCATTCACTCTAAAAATGGTGTGTTGCTGTTTGTTTATTCTGAACTAACTTGTACAACTTGTACACAATGTAAGAGTATTTGTATTGTGAGGTAATTATTATTAAAATAAAAAAAATGTAGGAAAATGTTTTACAAACTCTTACAAATGGACGTGAATGAACTAAAAGCAGACACATATTAATACGCATTTATTTCACCTGACCAAGTGATCATCCACTACCTGTTCAGTTTGTGTTCTTACGTTGTCTCAACTCTGTATCTCGTTCTCTCTCTCGTTTACTCTTTGGTTAACTAGTTGGCTCTCATTGACGATGGCGTCTAAGGTTAGCTGTAATAAAAAGAGAAGTCATAAGCCTCTTGCTTTAAGTGCCAAGTTAGAGGATGATGGTGTGCCATTCTGATTTTATTCAATAAACACCCTGTCACTCACCTCTAACCAATAATATTAATATTTTAAGGTAAGTAATAAGTGTACTCTGTGTGTATCTTACCTTTTATTGTGTTTTTAATGCCTATTTCTATTGCTAACTTAATATAAGTTAGTGTAAACTTGTTGTCTGGCATTTACTGCATATTTTATATGCTCTGATAATAATACTTGTGGAGCCGGGTGGAGCGACAACACTACAATTTCTCTGTTCAGCCATGAGAGAAAACGTGTATGACAGGATGGATACTGAGAACCTTCAAAACTAGGGATGCAAAGCCCATGATGACACTCTTCAGGTCGCTTGTTCTATCTAGGCTGGAATATTGCTGCACACTAACAGCACCTTTCAAGGCAGGTGAAATTGCTGACCTAGAAAATGTACACAGAACCTTCACAGCACGCATAACGGAGATAAAACACCTCAATTACTGGGAGCGCTTAAAGTTCCTGAACCTGTATTCCCTGGAATGCAGGCGGGAGAGATGCATGATTATATACACCTGGAAAATCCTAGAGGGACTAGTACAGAACTTGCACACGAAAATCACTCACAATGAAAGCAAAAGACTTGGCAGACGATGCAACATCCCCCCAATGAAAAGCAGGGGTGTAACTAGCATGTTAAGAGACAATACAATAAGTGTCAGGGGCCCGAGACTGTTCAACTGCCTCCCAGCACACATAAGGGGGATTACCAATAGACCCCTGGCAGTCTTCAAGCTGGCACTGGACAAGCACCTAAAGTCGGTACCTGACCAGCTGGGCTGTGGCTCGTATGTTGGATTGCATGCAGCCAGCAGTAACAGCCTGATTGATCAGGCTCTGATCCACCAGGAGGCCTGGTCACAGACCGGGCCGCGGGGGCATTGACCCCCGGAACTCTCTCCAGTGATGCGGCAACGTTGATGACGTCACGAGTACCCACTCGCACTGTTGCTCGGGATAAAGTTACTGAGGATATAAAGCTTTCCCCGAGGAACAGCTGTTGTGGAGGAAACTACATGTATCATGTATCACAAGGTATACAGATCATAGCTGACATCAGTGATATACTACTATATAAAAAGCAGCTTGTTATGCAGAGCATTTTGTGCAAATTAGGCGAGTTTTGTCCCAGGATGCGACCCACACGAGTCCACTAACACAACCTACTTGCTAGGTAAACAGAACACCTAGTGTAAGGAAATACTCCTAAAGATTCTACCCTCACCAGGTCACAGGTCAACCTTATTCCTAATTTATCTTCCTGTGGCCTGGTTGGCAAGGTTCTCACTTCACACTCTGAGGGTCTGGGTTCAATTCCCGGTGAGGCAGAAACTTACACCTGTTGTCCAGTTCACCTAGCAAATAGGTACCTGGGTGTTAGTGGACTGGTGTGGGTGGCTTCCTGGGGGACAACACTGAGGACCACAGTGTAAATAAAACAGACAGTTCCTCAATGATACACTGACTTTCTTGGGTTATCCTGGGTGGCTAACCCACCCTACCCTGGGTTATCCTGGGTGACTAACCCTCCAGGGTTAAAAATCAAAACAAAATGTTAACTGTTTTTCACACAGTTGAGTTACTTATAGTTTATTATGTAACATAAACCTTAAAACTTACTAATTTAAACCTGCTGCTGCCTGAGCATCTAACACCTGCTGCTGCCTCACCACCTAACATCTGCTGCTGCTGCCTCACCACCTAACACCTGCTGCTGCTGACTCACCACCTAACACCTGGTGCTGCCTCACCACCTAACACCTGCTGCTACTGCCTCACCACCTAACACCTGCTGCTGCCTCACCACCTAACACCTGCTGCTGCTGCCTCACCACCTAACACTTGCTGCTGCTGCCTCACCACCTAACACCTGCTGCTACTGCCTCACCACCTAACACTTGCTGCTGCCTCACCACCTAACACCTGCTGCTGCCTCAGAACCTAACACTTGCTGAGCTGAGCACCTAACACCTGGTACTGCCTGAGCACCTAACACCTGCTGCTGCATGAGTAACTAACATCTGACACACTCAACACCTCAGCACCTAACACCTGACATTCAAATTCAAAGTTTATTCTCTATAATGATTACAATGCTGAGTTTACAGAATTTGGTTATTGTGTGGTTTACATGTAGTAAAATAATGATTACAGAGTGTACCACTAGAACACCTAGTATGGCTAGGCATTTCGGGCAGACTTAGTTTAATTCTTAATTTTAAAATATTACAAATTATGAGGTAAGTTGGTATTATGGCTAAGTGACTAAATACTAGTTTGTGAGTTTAGCAATGTGAATGCTTTTGTTTTGGCACAGTACATAGTTTCAGTATTAGAGTATCACAGGATTCATTATTTTAAGATTGAGATTAATATTTCTGTTTATGGTCAAATGGGTGAGTGAGTGTAAGTGTGAACCACCAGGTGGTATTCGTGTAGTTAGTTGACAGGGTGTATCAGGGAGATATGATGTTTTCTAATGGTAGTTTTGAAGGTGATGAATGTGTCTGGAGTTCTGGAGTTCTCAGGTAGGGTGTTCCAGATTTTAGGGCCTTTGACATACATTGAATTTTTGTAAAGGTTTAGTCGGACACGGGGAATGTCGTAGAGATGTTTGTGTCTTGTGTTATGCCTGTGGGTTCTGTCACAACTATCAAGAAAGCGTTTTAGGTCAAGGTTGATATTGGAGTTTAAGGTCCTGTAGATGTAGATTGCACAGTAGTAAGTGTGGATGTACTGAACAGGGAGTAAGTTTAGATCTATGAAGAGTGGGGAGGGGGGTGTTGCCAGGGATGGGATTTAGCGATTATTCTTACTGCAGCTTTTTGTTGGGTTATTATTGGCTTTAGGTGTGTTGCTGCAGTTGATCCCCAAGCACAAATAGCATAGGTGAGGTATGGATAAATAAGTGAGTGGTATAGTGTGAGAAGGGCATTTTGCGGCACATAGTATCGTATCTTGGAGAGGATCCCAACCATTTTAGATACTTTTTTTGGTTATGTGTTGGATATGGGTGCTGAAATTCAGGTTGTTGTCAAGGTATAGGCCTAGGAATTTGCCCTCATTATGTCTGGTAATTAGAGTGGTGTCGATCTTAATGTTAATTTGTGCATCTCCTGCTCTGCTACCAAACATAATATAGTAGGTTTTGTCAGTGTTAAGAATAAGTTTATTGGCTGTCATCCAAGTCGATATTTTGATCAGCTCCTCATTAACAATGGTGTTGAGGGTGGCAAGATTAGGGTGAGAGATGACATAAGTCGTGTCGTCAGGTGTTGGGATACATTTGGAAGATCATTGATGTATATAAGGAAGAGCAGGGGACCAAGGACACTTCCCTGCGGAACTTCAGTATCAAGTGGCCGTGTTGTTGATGCTGTGTCTTTAATGGTGACATACTGATACCTATTAGTAAGGTAAGATTTGAAATATGCAAGTGCATGGCCTCTTATACCGTAATGGTCAAGTTTGTGGAGTAGGATGTCGTGGTCTACTGTGTCAAAAGCTTTTCTTAGGTCAATAAAAATTACTAGTGGATATTCCTTATTTTCCAATGCTGTGTAAAGCAGGTCTAGCATTTTTATGATTGTATCATTAGTGCTTTTATTTTTCCTGAATCCAAATTGGCAGGGGTTGAGTATGTTTTGTGCCATTATAAATGAATATAGTCTCCTGTGCACGAGTTTCTCAAAGATTTTGGATAGCAATGGTAAGTTTGATATTGGCCTATAGTTGTTTAAGTCTGTAGGGTCACCACCTTTATGTATTGGTGTAACCCTTGCTGTCTTGAGTAACTAACACCTGACACACTCAACATCTGAGCACCTAACACCTGACACATTCAACACCTGAGCACCTAACACCTGACAGTCAACACCTGAGCAACTAACACAGAACACCTGAGCAGGTAACACAGTCAACACCTGAGCAACTAACACAGCCAACACCTGAGCAACTAACACAGAACGCCTGAGCAGGTAAGACAGTCAACAAGACTCAGATATGATCATGTCTGGCGCCTTAATACACTATTTCATGGGTCAAACTCTCTCTATGTATCATCTAGCACATGAATGTTGTATTGTAATAAAGGTAGGTGTTACTCACCTGTGTTAGACACCACAAACACTGTTTATTGTTCACTTTATCACACTCACCCACCAACAATACATGTTGTTGTTGTTGTTTATAGGGCCACTGACAGTGTACGTCGTATTGAACCCTGACTTCCGCCGCTCCCAAAACCAACCACCACCAAAGTGGAAGGATGTTATACAATTAAACTGTACATATAAGAGAGGAGCTTACGATGACGTTTCTGTCAGAACTGGACCGTTTACAAAGTCACACTAACAAAAGGAGAGAAGGAGGGAGTATATATAGGCCAGCAGACAGGGACGAGAACAATAGTGGAAGTTAAGGTAGTAGTAGCAGTAGTGGAGTCAGTCAAATACCCAAGGCAGAAGGAAACCCAAAGGAGAAAGAGAAGAGGAAGAGGAAGAGGGAGAAGGGAAAAAAAGAATCAGGTTAAGTAACAGTTGTTTTGAAGGTTGCAACATTTTACGATGTAATGGGAAAGGAAGGCATCTACAGAGACAAAGCCAGGACTAAGATTCGTACAAGGAAAGTTGTGTATAAGGAAGGATTCAACAAGATGGTGACTGAAAGTTAGAAGTAGGGTAGATAGTTTTAGCAGAAGACCAGTCAATAGGATGACTGTGATCTCTGACATGACAGAAAAGAACATTATTGGTGTCGGCAAACCTAACACTATTTTTGTGCTCCCTGAGTCTGTCAGAAAGAGATCGGCCAGTTTCTCCAAAGTACTGAAGAGGACAGGAGGAACAAGAAATAGAATAGACACCAGGAGCACCTATAGAGGTGTCTACTCTATTTCTTTTTGGCAGACTTAAGGAGCATAAAAGTAGTGTTAGGTTTGTCGGCACAAACAATGCTCTTTTCTCTCATATCAGAGATCACAGTCATCCTATTGACTTTCAGTCTTCATTTGGTCGAATCCTCCCTTATACACAACTTTCTTCCGTCTTCCCTTTTTCCTCTTTCTCCTTTGGGTTTTCCTTCTTCTGCCTTGGGAATTTGACTGACTCTACTACTACTACTACTACTACTACTACTACTACTACTACTACTACTACTACTACTACTACTACTACTACCTCCACTTCCTCTCTTGTTTCCGTCCCTGTCTGCTGGCCTATATATACACTCTCCTCTCCTTTTGTTAGTGTGACTGTAAATGGTCCAAGTCTGACCGAAACGTCATCGTAAGCTCCTCTTATATGTGCGGGTTATTTGTGTATTGTTCCAGTCACGGTATTGTGCCCTTTTTTTTTTTGTTATTTATGGAAAGATGTTGACAAATTGCTGCGTATTATATATCCCTAATGCTCCCTGAAGCCAGCAAGAATGCGCAGATACAGGCTAAGATCTGATGGTCTGTAGAGTCAAAATCCTCCCCACTGAGAAGGAGAGGTAGTGTCAAAGGGCAGTTAGATCACCATGCGCGGCCAATAAAAAAACATCGATAAAGTATGGAAATTTATTTAGTCATATAGAAAAATATCTTAACTCATTGGCAAGACAATGGTACAAGAATCAATGTAATACGACGATCCTACAAGGAATTATAGTCATTTATATCATGTATGATGATGTTCGTAGCTCTCCTGCTCTCACACAGCATAATTTTTTTTTTCTATTGCATTATACATTCTAATACAATAACTGACGATTCTACATCATATGAGATTGAGTGGAGGTTTTATGTAGTCTGGTTGGTAAGTAAGACACATGTAAGAGTGGAGGTTATATGTAGTCTGGTTGGTTTAGGATTGTTGGACTTAAAGTGTAGGGTGAAATGTGTTTTTCTAAAGTGGGAGGTTTGGCGTGTGGGTGTGATGGCGGGAAATATGGACTAAGTATATACGAGGGTGAAAAAGTGGTATAGGGGAATGGAGTTAAGGGAATGTGAGATTGTACTACGAGCTTTGTTGATGGTAAAGGAACGGAGGAACATTCGCATAAGGGTTTTAAGTAGGTTACTGGGGGGTACGTGTGCAGCTCCAGTAGAAGGTTTGTTCCCCATGTACTCGTGGGAAAATATATGGCTCCGATTTAGCAAGTTGAAATTACGGCCTAGGGTGCGTGAAGTCATGTTTCGTTTTTTACATGGTATATTGCCGTCAGGGGCAATACTACGATCCAGAAGAGTCGTGGAGGGAGGCGGGTATGGGTTTTGTGGTGGGGAAGACACGGCTTTTCACGTTGTCTATTTTTGCGAAGGTTTAGAAGATGTCAGGAGTTGGTTGGGTAGGGTGGTACAGAGGGTGGGAGGGAGAGGAGTGCAGGTCCTGCGTGCGTTAAGTCTCGACATCGGTGGATTAGACCAGGACGTTGAACGGGCTTTAGATTATATTATCGTGGATTACATTTATATTTCGTGGGTAATGCGGGGAAAAGGGGTCAGTGAGGTGAGAAGGCGTGTCCTTGCAATAACGTTTTATCGTACAATGTGTAGGAATAGGGAATTGTATGGGAGGAGGTGGGATAAGGGTTTTTCGGACGGTTATAAAAGGCTCACTCTTGAAACCCTTGTGAATCTGTGATAAATATACGGGCATGCCGAATAAGTTGTCGTGTAGGTCAGTGGGCAATAGCTGGCTCGTCTCTTGGGGGGGAAGGATGTGAGTTGCGTGAATATGAGTTTGGGCATGAATGTTTTTTAGTTGTTATGGATGTGTGGTTGTAGATTCAGGGGTTAGGGTTACTTATTGTACCTTTTAGTCTAACTAATTTGTACCTTATTAGTCTAACTAATTTATTAACTTGTCTAACTAATTTATTAACTTTCTTCAGTAAAGCTTTTGAGGCTGTTGACCACAATAAAGAATTTGATATTATTTACTTAGATTTTAGTAAGGCTTTTGATAGAGTTCCGCACCATAGACTGTTAAAGAAAGTGGCAGCTCATGGCATTGGGGGAAAAGTGCTCTCGTGGATCGAGTCATGGCTCACTGACAGGAAGCAGAGAGTGTCCATAAATGGGGTTAAATCCGAGTGGGGATCTGTAACAAGTGGCGTTCCACAGGGATCAGTCTTGGGCCCGTTGTTGTTTATAATATATATCAATGATCTTGATGAGGGAATTACTAGTGATATGAGCAAATTCGCCGATGACACAAAGATAGGTAGGATAATTGATTCAAACGTAGATGTTAGGGAACTTCAGGAGGATTTAAACAAACTCTATTCTTGGTCAGAAAAGTGGCAGATGCAGTTCAATGTAGATAAATGCAAGGTTCTGAGGCTTGGGAGTGCCCATAACCCTAGTACTTATAAATTAAATGATGTAGAACTTAGCCATACAGATTGCGAGAAGGACTTGGGGGTTATGGTGAGCAGCAACCTTAAACCAAGACAGCAATGCCTAAGCGTACGTAATAAGGCAAATAGATTACTGGGATTTATATCAAGAAGTGTAAGCAACAGAAGTCCAGAGGTCATACTGCAGCTTTATACATCATTAGTAAGGCCTCACCTAGATTATGCAGCTCAGTTCTGGTCTCCGTATTACAAAATGGACATAAATTCGTTAGAAAACATTCAGCGTAGGATGACTAAATTAATACATAGCATCAGAAATCTTCCTTATGAAGAAAGATTGAAGACTCTTAAGTTACATTCACTTGTTAGACGAAGAATGAGGGAGACCTGATCGAAGTGTATAAGTGGAAGATAGGTATAAATAAAGGGGATATTAATAAGGTCTTGAGGATGTCTCTCCAAGAGAGAACGCGCAGTAATGGATTTAAATTAGGTAAGTTTAGATTTAGAAAGGACATAGGAAAGTATTGGTTTGGAAATAGGGTAGTTGATGAGTGGAACAGTCTACCTAGTTGGGTTATTGAGGCTGGGACTTTGGGTAGTTTCAAATCTAGGTTGGATAAGTACATGAGTGGGAGGGGTTGGATTTGAGTGGGACTTTCACATCAGAGCTTATTTCTTGGGTGGCATTGAAAATTGGGTTGGGCAAATGTTTTGTTAGTGGGATGAATTGTAAAGGACCTGCCTAGTATGGGCCAGCAGGCCTCCTGCAGTGTTCCTCCTTTTCTTATGTTCTTATGTTCTTATGTTCTTTTGTGTACAAAATGACTGGGGTGTCTTTACATATTTGTTATGTTTTTGATGCTTCCTTTGTGTAAAGACTCGTATTCTTGAGTCACTAGTTTTCTTAGTTTTGTTTTTGATTGTGTTATGGAGGTCCAGATATTTGGGTATATAAACATGCATATATATATATATATATATATATATATATATATATATATATATATATATATATATATATATATATATATATATATATATATATATATATATATATATGCATGTTTTATCCCTTCCCTGTTACTGTTCAATCTAGTCTGTGAGTCACCAAAGTATTAAAGGGATATAACACGTGTACATTACCCTGAGTCGTCCAATTGTATCCTATAAATATGTAGCAACATTATGATTTTTGTTTGTGATTCAAACGTAGTTCATAGGTATCAAGATTGAACACTTATGGAATGGATGGAAATTGCTGACGATTAATATGATAGTCAATTTATATAATATTTATTATGTTAATGAATTTGTGTTAGAGTAAATCATTGAATTTGTGTCTAAGTTGGAATTTCTATAATCAATTGTATATTTTGTATGCAAATTACATAAACTATTGTTTAAACATCAATGTAACATGTTTGTATGATGTGCATGTAGGTTATAATGGGTTAAGTGGGGTTTCCACCAGTGTTATATTTGTTACACAAACAGTTATATCTTTTGGTATTGTGTGTGTTTAGTGAAACGTACGTATGGATTTTATGGTGTGTTTGTCGTATATATCTATACGTATTAGTTAAAGATTTTTTTTTCTGGTATTTATGGTGTGTACCTCGTTGTACTCTATAGATTATGTATGGTGATGCTATTTAATTTTTAAGCAGCCTTGTATTTATGATGTTTTAAATAAATAAAAAAAAAAATTCACATCATCTGCAAAAAAGGACACGTCTGAGTCTATCCCTTAAGTTGTCATTCACATATACCAAGAACAGCACAGGTCCTAGGACTGACCCCTGTGGAACCCCGCTTGTCACAGGCGCCCACTTTGACA